TTCACAGGGACCAACCCTGCCCCAGTTCCAATCACACTAACAATCCGTTCACGCATTTCTTCATCATCTTGTGCTCCTCGAAGTGCCTTCTCCTTTCCCTGCTGCCCATATACCTGAAACCCACCCTCATAGCAGGTCAGCTTCCCTAACCATCCAGACTAGAGTCGCTGCTGCTGACATCACTCATAAAGCCCTTTGCATACACCATCTCCTACACACTATTATTCTACTGCGTAATATGCCACTTCTTTATATTCTAGCGCCTTCTACCCAACTCCTACCCTCATTTACCACAATGGCCAGTGTAGCATCTTTTCAATGCAACACTTGGCTATCAGCTACTGAATCAAAAGACATCTCATGGCAATGATGCATGAAAATTAAAAAGCTAAGTGTCGCTTAATAATACAATGACAATTTGGACCAAATAGTACTTTTGAGAAGCTAATTACTTTTCTCTTTAAAATGTCTGAGGATTTACTATCCATGGCGATGGTACTGTGGTTTTCCTTCAGCAGAAACACTGGTGACTTTGCCCTGGAGGCCGTGCTGGTCTGGTGTGACCCCAGAGGGCCCTCTGCTCACCCCACGCCAGTTCACCACAAGTGCCTGTTCCCTTGTCTGTCGACATCAGTAACTCCTCAGAAGCAAAGACAGGGTTTTCCATTTCTGATCCCTACATAGCAGTAGCCCATGTAGTAGGAACTCAGTCAATGGTTTACCTGGCACCATGATTATCTAAAGTAAACACAATTAAAAAATAACCTTTACCTGGCATATAAATGCTAAGTACTTAATTCATGACTGTGTGATTTCAAATGGCACAGATGGCCAAAATTCTAAGGACTACATTTATATAAGTATTAACCACAAAAATGAACACACAAACATCAAGATAAATCCTATGTGGATATATATGCGTACATGTACATGATTTTTATACGTCATAGAATACTTCTAGAAGAAAATACAATTTTGGAGAGGGAACATGAGAAAATGGTGGTTTTCTACTTTCCACACTTCTGTCTTGCTTTTTTTAAGAACTTTGGAACATGTAGAACTTTCAGATTAATTCCTCGCCCCCCCCCCACCCACACACACACAAGCAATCTAATGGCAGTTAAAATATTTTTTTAAATAAGTAATGTTAGTCTACCATTAGAATAAACTAATAGAAATTTTAGACATTATAAGTTGTGCCTGAAAGAAAACAGACTCAGGCAGCGAGGTTTTGGAAGTCCAATGGGGAGATTTTGTTTTTGAGGATTAATTTCTATATATAGATCGGTTAAACTCCTTCTTAACTTAGTATTTCCTAATTTAAATTCTTCTTTCATTTAGCATCCAACATTCCTATATATTTAGGGATAAAATTACCCCAAGGAGTAATCCATCTTTTCAAGTAGTTGAAAGAGATAGTAAAACTCTTTGCAAGATCTGAAATTGTAACATGAAAAGCTTCTCAGATGTTCAACAGGAACTTTAACTAAGGTGCACTTTTGAAGTGCTCAATCCTCATAACAAAAGGTGTGCATTGAAAAATGTCAAGGCATCACACATCTGCTCCCCTCCCTTTTGCCAGAATAAGGAACCCTGGTCTCCTGTGGGAGATCGCAGACCATGTGGCCTTACGCCCTCAGGTCCACGGTCTGCCCACCCTCATATACCACGCCACTGAAATAATCCAGCAAACAGCAGCTACTCAGTGAACCCTTAGTTCAATGAGTGCCACTTGCTCAAACGATACACCCCTGCAGAAATCAACAGAATAACACAGCTCTAATAAGTAAGGAAACATTTGCCATGTCCTTAAAAAAATATCAGCTTTCATGAAATGACTCCTCGTCCAGTTTGGTTTTATACGAGCCCAGGACTCATCTGCTGAGCTACTCTAATTAATGAACTGCAGGAAGTTTGGTGTGGAGGCCTTCAAGAAAAGGATGGAGGTGAGGTGGTCACAGGCTATTGGGAGTGAGGAATCCCCAGTTCTGTCCTACTTTCTTCAGGCCAGGACAGATGGGTGCACACACTTTGAGATGGTCTAGTTTTTTGTGTTGGTTTTTTTTTTTTTTAAATCTCAGGGATTGGTTAGGAAAAAAGCTTTTTCCTTTCAAGAATCAGAACTCATCTTTGTACCTTGCAGTGTTTCTGGAATACCTCCTCTGGGTCTCATCAGCTCACCACCTTGCAAAGATGAGAAGAGAGTTGCTTTTTCTACTATTCCTGCCATCTGGAAGACCCGCTCTATTTCATGCCTCCCCATAAACAGTCCATCTGTGCTCAAATCTCATGTCGAAATGCATCCTTGATCCTTTACCTCCACCTTTTAATTTCCTTCTACTTCACTTCCTGTCCTAAGATTGAATTTTTCTACATCAAGCTCTTGCTTTCATATTTTGCTATGAGGGTTACAGCTTTCTGGTTAATCACTGTGGGGGTGAGGGAGAATTTAGGATCAGTCTCCTTGAAATCACAAAGTTATGGTTCTGACTGCAGCTGAGACATTCATGACCTTTATACAAAAGCAGGAAACCACAGGATCATTTCAAATTTTTAGCACAGTTATTTTAACGGAAGACGAGGAGGGAGAATATAGCTTTAGAAAACTTTCCAGATTTTTAGAAGTTTTCAATTTATTAAAAAACCAGATAATTAATGCCAAGAGCTTTAATACCTCCTCAACTTCCAGATAAAACTAGGTCACAAAAAAAACAACAGTTTGCAAAAGAGCAGCACACCCACCTGAGGGTAGGGGGAAGCTCTGGATTTTGACTTGGAGCTGGCAAGCCTGGACTTTGCCCCCTTCCTGTTGTCCGTCATGGTAGGAGTGGAGCTGGTGGTGTAGGAAAAGGCTGGTTTGGTGGCTGAGATCTGATCCAGGGAGAGCTGCAGCCCTTTGTATTCCGTGTCCCTGCAGAATGAGAAGACACAGCCCCTCATCAGCTGCCGCGGGAAGCGGACACATGGTTCTCTCACAGGAAGGGCGAGAATGCACATTCGAAAAGGAAGTAAGCAAAAGTCAGCCAAGTGAGCCGGTGCCACAAATACCTCAATGACTTTGGAAATGCCGAACATTTAACCAATGTGTGTGAATGTAGCAGCCACAGTCAGATTATTAGGATATGCTTATGAAAATGTCTTGACTTAAAGATATATTTTTCATCATTTATGTAAGTAGAAAATAAATCCATAATTCAACTCCTCTGAGCTTTTGTGTCCTCAGTGGTGTGATATAGATTATAAAATCCACTCCAAAAATTTTCTGTGTGGGGAGAACTCAAGAGACAACTGACTGTCTCATGCTATCTGATTATTGGCAAGAAGAAGGTCTTCTATCAACTGTTCTAAGATCGATCATTCTAGTAAACATTCTCGATATTCTGTTAGCTAGACAACTAGTGTAACCAGGATTGTAAGTAGTTAAAAGTCTCTTTCCACAAGCTAACGGAGTCAGTTACCTCAGGATACATTTTATCACTGGTTCTTTCCGTTCCTTTGTATTTATAATTTTGTTTTTGAGGATTAATTTCTATATATAGATCGGTTAAACTCCTTCTTAACTTAGTATTTCCTAATTTAAATTCTTCTTTCATTTAGCATCCAACATTCCTATATATTTAGGGATAAAATTACCCCAAGGAGTAATCCATGTTTTCAAGTAGTTGAAAGAGATAGTAAAACTCTTTGCAAGATCTGAAATTGTAACATGAAAAGCTTCTCAGATGTTCAACAGGAACTTTAACTAAGGTGCACTTTTGAAGTGCTCAATCCTCATAACAAAAGGTGTGCATTGAAAAATGTCAAGGCATCACACATCTGCTCCCCTCCCTTTTGCCAGAATAAGGAACCCTGGTCTCCTGTGGGAGATCGCAGACCATGTGGCCTTACGCCCTCAGGTCCACGGTCTGCCCACCCTCATATACCACGCCACTGAAATAATCCAGCAAACAGCAGCTACTCAGTGAACCCTTAGTTCAATGAGTGCCACTTGCTCAAACGATACACCCCTGCAGAAATCAACAGAATAACACAGCTCTAATAAGTAAGGAAACATTTGCCATGTCCTTAAAAAAAATATCAGCTTTCATGAAATGACTCCTAGTCCAGTTTGGTTTTATACGAGCCCAGGACTCATCTGCTGAGCTACTCTAATTAATGAACTGCAGGAAGTTTGGTGTGGAGGCCTTCAAGAAAAGGATGGAGGTGAGGTGGTCACAGGCTATTGGGAGTGAGGAATCCCCAGTTCTGTCCTACTTTCTTCAGGCCAGGACAGATGGGTGCACACACTTTGAGATGGTCTAGTTTTTTGTGTTGGTTTTTTTTTTTTTTTAAATCTCAGGGATTGGTTAGGAAAAAAGCTTTTTCCTTTCAAGAATCAGAACTCATCTTTGTACCTTGCAGTGTTTCTGGAATACCTCCTCTGGGTCTCATCAGCTCACCACCTTGCAAAGATGAGAAGAGAGTTGCTTTTTCTACTATTCCTGCCATCTGGAAGACCCGCTCTATTTCATGCCTCCCCATAAACAGTCCATCTGTGCTCAAATCTCATGTCGAAATGCATCCTTGATCCTTTACCTCCACCTTTTAATTTCCTTCTACTTCACTTCCTGTCCTAAGATTGAATTTTTCTACATCAAGCTCTTGCTTTCATATTTTGCTATGAGGGTTACATCTTTCTGGTTAATCACTGTGGGGGTGAGGGAGAATTTAGGATCAGTCTCCTTGAAATCACAAAGTTATGGTTCTGACTGCAGCTGAGACATTCATGACCTTTATACAAAAGCAGGAAACCACAGGATCATTTCAAATTTTTAGCACAGTTATTTTAACGGAAGACGAGGAGGGAGAATATAGCTTTAGAAAACTTTCCAGATTTTTAGAAGTTTTCAATTTATTAAAAAACCAGATAATTAATGCCAAGAGCTTTAATACCTCCTCAACTTCCAGATAAAACTAGGTCACAAAAAAAACAACAGTTTGCAAAAGAGCAGCACACCCACCTGAGGGTAGGGGGAAGCTCTGGATTTTGACTTGGAGCTGGCAAGCCTGGACTTTGCCCCCTTTCTGTTGTCCGTCATGGTAGGAGTGGAGCTGGTGGTGTAGGAAAAGGCTGGTTTGGTGGCTGAGATCTGATCCAGGGAGAGCTGCAGCCCTTTGTATTCCGTGTCCCTGCAGAATGAGAAGACACAGCCCCTCATCAGCTGCCGCGGGAAGCGGACACATGGTTCTCTCACAGGAAGGGCGAGAATGCACATTCGAAAAGGAAGTAAGCAAAAGTCAGCCAAGTGAGCCGGTGCCACAAATACCTCAATGACTTTGGAAATGCCGAACATTTAACCAATGTGTGTGAATGTAGCAGCCACAGTCAGATTATTAGGATATGCTTATGAAAATGTCTTGACTTAAAGATATATTTTTCATCATTTATGTAAGTAGAAAATAAATCCATAATTCAACTCCTCTGAGCTTTTGTGTCCTCAGTGGTGTGATATAGATTATAAAATCCACTCCAAAAATTTTCTGTGTGGGGAGAACTCAAGAGACAACTGACTGTCTCATGCTATCTGATTATTGGCAAGAAGAAGGTCTTCTATCAACTGTTCTAAGATTGATCATTCTAGTAAACATTCTCGATATTCTGTTAGCTAGACAACTAGTGTAACCAGGATTGTAAGTAGTTAAAAGTCTCTTTCCACAAGCTAACGGAGTCAGTTACCTCAGGATACATTTTATCACTGGTTCTTTCCGTTCCTTTGTATTTATGGAAATATTCATTAAGCTCCTAATATGTACCAGACTTTGTGCTACATGGAGATGTAGGGATGGATAAGACACCTACAGTCCCACCCTAGTGCAGATTACAGTCTGGGAGGAGAATTGGTAAACGTAGGGGCTGCGCAGTCACATGAAGGGGATACTGAGGGCCCCACAGAGAATTCGTTGCAGAGGTATTGCTTGGAGTATTCCGGGGCTGAAGATGACAACTGGGCCCTGCCCACAGCTGCCAGCTCAGACTGCTTCCAGCAAGCCAGGAAGTCTGCCTGACCCCTCAATTTTCACAAGAAGATACCGACCCTTTCCACTGGCAGCCAAAATAAAATGTTTCAGAGTCTTCTTTACGAGGACTCATGGGAGGCTTTTCTCTCAGGTTCCAGAAGGAGCTGGGCTGCTCCTGGGTAATTGATTTCTTTTTATCTCACAAACACTGTAAAAATAGAACTGTTGTTTCCCTCTTTGCCCTGGAAGTCAGAAAGCTCAGCCTGAGCCCCAAGTCCCATTTGCAGCCACACTAGTAAGTGCACAAGTCCCCACGGCAGGCACTTGGTGGCCACAGACCTCACTGGCTCCCTTTATTTTTCTTATTTTTCCTTTTCTCTAATGGGTTCACCTTTTAAAAACTTTTATACACATTTGTGATACTCTTTGGTTTAAGATAGATCTATGAAATACAGTAAATTAATAAAATGATATATGTAGAGGTGACTGGCAGCTTTCCATGGACCAGGAAATATTCATTTGTCTTCTTTTCCTTTTCCCTCTTTGTTCTTCTACAGAGATCAGACAAAAGCAAAAGTATAATTCAGGCAAGGAGCCCTCAAGTGACAAGGAATAGAGATCAGCTAGACAGGTCCAATAACATCACTGCCACAAACTACAGTGTGATGATATCCGTCAGCAAATTACAATGGCTTCCTAGCAAATTGTCCATCATCTGAAATTTAAGAAAATCCTCCTACGTGAAGAACAAAACTGTAGAAGGTGGGCATGCGATCTGCTTTTCTGGTTTGGGAAGTCTGATCCCATTGCACGTCTGCTTTGCTGCGCCAACCAACTCATAAGGACAATGCCCAACATATAATCTGAGCCTGCCCTGTTCAGATAGTCAGTGTCCTCCAAAATGCGGCTTGCATCTGTTTTTCTGACAGTCTCTCACAACTTTCCTTCATTAGCCCTTCACTTCAGCCAAAGTAGTTCTCCCTAAACTTGTACTTTCCTGACTCTCTCCGTACTCCAACACATACCAAAAAAACACCCCTTATAAAGCACTTTCTTAAATCCCAGTTGCCTCTGTGAAGCCCTTCCCAACGGCTAGATACGGAAGCAAAAAACGTGTCCATCAACAGATGAATGGGTAAAATGTGGTTCATATACACAGTGGAATACTATTCAGCCATAAAAAAGAGAAATTTTGCCATTTGCAACAACATGGATGGACCTAGAGGGTATTTTGCTCAGTGAAATAAGCCAGGTGGGGGAAAGCAAATGCCATATCATTTCACTTATTTGTGGAATCTGAAAACAAAGCAAAACAAAAATGAACAAAATAGCAGTAGACTCACAGACACTGAGAAGGGACTGATGGTTGCCATGGGGGAGGGGCTGGAATGGGTGGGTGGGAAGGTGAGTTGGATAAAGGGGCACACAAATCTCAATCTTAATATGAGTTGGTCCTGGGGATGGAAGTGCAGCATGGAGAATATAGCCAATGGTTCTGCAACATCTTTCTTTGTTGGCAGAGAGTAAACGCACTGTTTGGGGTGAGGATTTAATAATGTGTGTAACTGTTGAACCCATGCATCATGTACTTGAAGCCAATAAAATGTTGTATATCAACTATAATTTTAAAAAGGAAGGGATTTTTTCCTCAATGACTTCTAAGAACTTGCAAGCCAGCAACCTTTCTCTGTAGGAAAAGACCCCTGTGGCCTATGAGTCCCTTGACCCCCTGCCTGGAGAGCACATGGGTGCAACAGTGAGCAAGCCAGGCTCTGACAGGAGGAAGAACCCCCATCCTTGAGCAAACCCTGTGTCCAATGCTCTTCTGTCCAGTGGGCAGCAGAGTATCCATTCAGTCCCTGCATAAAAGATCCTAAACTGACAGCAAAAGTCATGCACCCCTGAAAATACGGCCAAATAATTTTTTAAACTCATTTTTAATGCACCATTTCAGCACAGAGACTTTGCATACAAGTAGAGAGAGTAAACAGGATTCATTTTTCTCGTGCACACTATCAGACCTCCAAAGTATCATCACAACTACTGAAAAAGTCTGTCCAGAATTTTTGCATAGTTTCCAATGTTAGAAATACTCCAAGTTAAATAGGGTTAAATAAAATGTTAAAACCAATAAATTACTTGAAATTCTATATAGTCACATGAAAATACTAACAAACATAAGAAAAATTACACAAAAACTCTTGATACACTAACACAAATATTGTCTTGGTGTACATCAAAATATTCCAAAAAAGAATCCGCCAAAATTGAGCAGAAGTCCATGCAGTCAGGTAGATCATGGTTTAAGCCACTTACTCTGTAACAATCTCAAATTCCCCTTTATAACTCATGGGGATGTGCTGAGGTTAAGGTGAAATACATGAAAGCCTCATAGCACAGTGCCTAACACAGAATAAACGCTCAAAAATAGGTAGTGATATTTCTTACTTAAGTAAGTAAAAAACTGTAATGTGTTGATAAGATGTGGCAAAGTCAACCATCCTCACAACAGGAATTGTATAATCCCTTTGTACAAACCCACTCTGTGCCATGTTGTGACACCTGATTCCCCCAAATAGTAGTTCCACTTTGGTAGCAATTATAATACACTTCATTCCAAACACCTCTCCCTATTTCTTTCCCTTCTACCCCAAACTCATTTTAATTTGATCTGTTACTGCTGAGCCTCTGAACTCTGATGCACTATGGCCAAACAGTTACCTGCTAAGGTAGGTCCTTCATTGCTAAGGCAGCAAATGGGACCCTGAGAGCTGTGCAGAACTGACATCCTGAGAGTTCAGCCTTGCTAGCTCTCTGTTCGAAACTCCAACAGCCTAAAAGATGTGCTAGGATGAAAAGCACAATAAAAAAACACCCACTGAAAGACATTTCCAGTGTGGTTGATGTGTTGCCAAGAGCAGCTTTGAACGGCAGGTTCATGGAGAACAAAGCATTGGCTTTACTTTTAGGGTTCTATTAAACTGTGGGTTTCGTTTGTGTAGATTAAAGGTCTAGATGCTGATGGGAATCACATTATGAGCTCCATTCCCCCCTCCAAACTCAGACACGAAGAAGGGTCCGGCCCTCCCTGCCTCCCTCCCCGACGTGACGCACAGTCTGGCATCGCACACACGTCCTCGGTGGAGGTGGGCGCCGAGGCAGGTTGTTCACTGCGTCCCTGTGGAGCAGGGCAAAAGGAAATACTTGGGTGCACAGAACTTAGACTCAAATGAGTACGGTGAGGCACTTGACTCAGCTGCTTTGATGAAGAAAGGACACAGCCCTGCTCTACCTCTAAAGCTTTCCGGAAAAGTGCGGCCCAGACCATGCTCAGGACCCCACAGGGAACTCTCTCCAGCGCAGCTCGCGCCGTTCTCCCAGACACGATCGGCATAGCAAAATAGGAACTACGCTCTATGCCATTTGGCATATTTCTCAAAGTGGCCATTGATTCCAATTTGCATTTGTATTTTTCTCCTTAATAACTTGCACCAAAGCGGCTGACATCCTCAGGTACCTCGGCTCTGAAAGCAACGTGGGAACGGGTAATGTGCAGTCACCAGCATTCACAGCTTGTCAATCTCACCCATATTTGCACAGACCTAAGTAATCCTCTTATTCCATTATGGACAGTCAGAAATCATTCAATTTGCAGAATTAGCCATCTGAGTCTACTCTAAACTTTATAATATTCATGTACATATTTGGAATTGCTCCAGTTCCAGTGAAATAAAAGGGGCCATTTTCTCGTCACTGGCGTTCTCGGCCTTCCCTTAAGCAACGTGCCATGCCTGCTGGTGCGGTAAAGGCCGACTTGCCACACGGGAAGCTCGGGGTGATGTCCTCGCAGAGCAAAGGAAAGGTGTCTTCGCTGCTGAAGGGTACCGCCAGCTCCGGAAAAATGCACCAGCCAAGTTTCCATCATTTTGACTGGGAGATTGGTGTCCATGATGCCAGGAGAAGCACAAACATATTCACGACCTTCCAGTATGTTGGAATGAGCGCACAGAGACGCAGTAGAGGTACAGTTGGCCCTTGAACAACTCTGGGGTTGGGGCATCAGCCCACATGCAGTTCAAAATCCAAGCTTAACTTCTGATTCTCCCTAAGCTTAACTACTAATGGCCTACTGTTGATTTTATGGTGGTAAATGACAGACCATACTAGTATCT